AGATCTGACGCCGTACTTTGTTAAGTAAATGGGGTGAAACTCTACCGGTAAAGCTCCACTGGTAAAGTTCTAGAAATGAAGTTGCCAAGCTTCTAGACACCTACGCATTTGGTGGTTTCGTAAGCAGCCGTGGGTCAATGTATCTGTGAGTGCTTAAAGAGAGATCAGGATGCAGGACAAAGACATGATTATAGTTGCCTCAAAACCGCAAGTATCTCCACTAAGGACGCAACCGCCGAAATGGTTTAAATGAGGTACACTGCCACGTCCTGCCTATCTCTGGCATATAGGGTGTACTCATAAACCATCCAAGCTTTAGAGATCGTAAAAGTGATTTGAATTCATCCGTCCGTTCACCTACCTCCTGCCCGAAAACAACCTCTCCCGTTTCAATGATACTGGGGTCGATACTAGGGGAAATTGGCTTAGAATCAGTTGCGAGCTGGCACCTAGCAGTGGAAGTCGTGTCATTGAGAAAAATGAGTTTCATAGACTCGGACCTTTTCATATCTCTGAAGAGAATCAGCTGGTATTTTGAGTTGAAGTCCATCGATTGCCTCTTTAGACGAAATCAACAACACCGGCCTAAAATGTGGAAATTTACTCAAGAATCTCGAATAAAGGAGTAGTTTCTTCGGTTGCGAAGCTCCCACACAGCTTCTCAATATCATCAGGACTTCAGCTGATGAATGTGAGCACTCAAACCAGTAATGATCAGAAAATAGTGATGCTTTTCCCGAAACAATGGAATTTTGTAGAGAAATTAGTTCCGGCGAACGACTTACCCAGGATATGTCATTATAAAATGCGCGTGGAATCAACAGACTGGCCTAATAAGTTCCGTTTTTGGGTAGAAACATCTCATCGCTCGTTAACGAGATTAGTAACTCGCATTCTTGAGAATGCATAGGGTGGTTATTACTTTACTTGGACCATAATTCGGCCTGCGTTTTGGTGGTAATATTTTCATCCAGCGACGCGTAATCTTGTCTTTCTCTCAGAAAGGAAAATCGACGGATCAAAAAAATCCTAAAATATGCGCCATGTCGCCATGGTCAAATGAGTACTGCAGTCACCCTACCGGTGTTTCAAGGATATAAAGTGCATACAAGCTTAGCAGTATGGTTCAGGTTTACGCAAAAACTTGTTCAGAGTTGTCAAAGCGAACACAGATGTTTCTCGGCGCACCAACAAATGAATTCCTTTCTTCTCTGGCCCTCAGCCCTGATTTCTATCACGGGCTGCAAGAAGGGAGCTTCTAAACTTCCTTAATTGAACTTCTGGTACTACTCCTAGAGGAAGCCATTACAGAAGAGACTACGCACTGATCTTCTTCGGACATTTCAATTTTGACCCATTTAAACTGTGTCGTATTGTCCTTATTGCCTTCGCTATCCGATGTAGGTTCCGTGTCGGGACTGTCGGTCGAAGGGTTCACCTGAAACGAACACGATTGATTCCTTGGCCATAAAGTTTGGGGATATCGTTGAATGAAAATTTACGCGTTGCCTTTCATAAATGTAGCAGAGCTTTGATTTGAACCAAAAGACCTACGATTCTTTGGTTCAAAGCAAAATCCTGCTAAAGGACCGTGAGTCTTCGTCGAAATTGCACTCTAGGACCTCACGAACATTTCTAGACGCTTCAAATTTATCTTCATTGCAAGCCCCATGTGAGATAAAAGTGTGAAATCTTGTGGGACGACTTAGGCAGTTACCATATACCCATACTCTCCTACAGCGTAACGAGGGTGGCTATCATTTATCAATTTGGCCGAATCCGTTCGTTGGCGGAAATTTGAGCTTGTATTCGCTGCCAGGCGCTACCTCGGCCTACACAACAAGAAGGGTAGGCAGTTACCTACAATTTGAGGGCAGGCATATGTTCTCAAATAATTTTTGGCACCACTCATTTGAAGAGAAAACGCTTCTAATGTGGTGTGGTGAGCCCATTTCTGCGCTCAAAAGTGCAAAGGAACGGGATGGACGGTAGCGAAACCCAAGGCGTTTTGGACTCCACCCACAAGCAACAACGTGCCGGCAACTTCATAGCTACCGAGGTCTTCAATGAACAGCATGAATGGCAAGCTGCCAGCAGCGGCCAAACGTAGAGAACAACTAAGTGTAAGAGGACGGAGACCAGTAACGCGCTTGACTAAAGTTAGTGGTGCAGCGCGTTTATTCCGCTGGTTCAGCGGCGAATGCGGTGGAGTACGGTATATTACCATCCTCCATCTCCGTTCCCGTGTGCCATTGAGCGGAGAAAGTGGCACGCTACTGCAGCTATGAACCCGTTTACCTCGCACCTCATTCCAGTAGATATTAGGACTATCGATGGTAACGTACAGTTTGCCTTCAAAATATTACCCTACACGGCTGCTAATAATCTGGAGCATGAAGTTGCTCGATGTTAACCAGGGTTTCAGAATACCTACATTGAAGAGCCATTCATCGTCATCATCATCGCTCTTATCGTTCTTCTCCTTTTCTTCCTCTTCTGATGGTTCAGAACGTCTGTGGCGAGCGACGGCGAGTCCACGTTGATAGCTGTAAAAAGCTTGCTCTGCTTTCTTGTGATACAGTTAATATTGTTGCAACCAATCGGGGCGGGGTAAAAAGGCATGAAGTGACCCCATACGCGGGGATATAGTCCCTTCGTTGTTCCCGTCTAAATCGATAAGTAACCGACTGCTTGGTGATAAAATGTAGCCGCCGACAAGCTTTTTCGACCATCCTAACATCACCCCCATTGGTTGTGACGAACTCAGCCATATGAACTATATGGAGTAGATTTCGCAAGCGTTACTGAAGGTCCCCAGAGTCACATCCCGTGATTGCACGCTGCGAATGATGAGGTTCAAACATGGAATTGTAGATGCTAATTGACTTGTTTATGCAGTAGGAGAAAAGGAACTCGTCGAAATGTTCAAATAACGCTCGGTCTGTGCAGGCATGGAAAGGAAGGTAGTAAGGACAGAACTCACGCAGACGAGAAAGTACACATTCACATAAGCAAAAAAGTGGGGGTTGCCGGACACTACAAAGGCAGTTGGCACGGGGGGGGCGGAGGGGGTGGAAGTGGGGGCGTGGGGGTATTTCAGGTACGCCTGTGAAAAAGAGCAAAGGCGCCAATTAATGCAAACATTAATGAGAACGGTGCGAAATGGCAGGGAAACCACAAAATAGAGGCTTTATTTCTCCGCTGCGCTGCGGCAGTGGACGAGCGAACGGCTGGGGCGGGCGCTGCTTTGGACGAGTCTACCGAATGAACCGTTTACTGCTGGCAAAAAGCCAGCAGTACGTTCTACGTCGCTCTACGTTACATACACTACATTACACGTAGGCACGGGCGGTCCACAACGGCACGTCCTCGTGCTGTGATGCTATACGTCCAATGGTAGGCGGGCGGGCGAGGTGGGCGTCCGGGTCGGTATGTTGCTGCTCGATAGGGCGCTATAAGGGTACCCTCCTTTGGAAAAGGCGCTACGCAGCGCCTGTTCAGGGTCACGGAATTCTGTCATGCCAGTCGTATCAATGCTACTCGTCTTCAGGGATTTATCGTGCCAACTGCCTTTAACTCAACCCCTTAACTACGGCACCCGTCTGCAGCCCAATCTCTAGACGACGACCCGGTCACGGTCAAGTACGAGCCCTCAGCGGTACGCGCCTTGGAGTGATGAGGTGGAATCCTGTAGTAAATATGTACTTCTACGGACCTGTTCATCGCAAATGGAAGGGGATTCTACCTAAGGGGGGGGGGGGTAATCGTAGATTGTGTCAATGAATAACCGCCAAAAGGCGTAGAATGTACTTACGTGTGAACATCGTAGTCTTTTTCGTAGTCCTCTACGCGATTACCCTCATAACCATCTGCAGAACTCCGAAAGTGCTCATGCACAGGATCCGTGACTGCATGAGGCATATGCACTCTCCAGTTGCCAACTTCGGCCAACTTATGGTCAGGACTCTCCACCAGTAGGAAGGCGGTGTCTGGCAGAGAATTACATTGTTAGATTGAAGTTTGAAAGTCGATTGTGAATTGTATCGCTAAAAAACATAAATGTGAAATGTGTAAACTATAAGCTAGCTATTTATGTCTGTGGACTCTAGCGGGGTACTCGGTCAACAATGCTAGCAGGGTACAGTGGGGAAAATGGCGAAAAAACGAATTGACTGGTAACCTGCGAAGAAAAACTTTCAAAAAACCAATTTCGGACGAGTTTCCCGTGGGCATCTTGCCAATAACCGCTACGGTAGGTATGGCTGCACGTATGTACTCATATATCCATGCAGCACCGCGCCGCTTCATATCAATCCCTTCGCTTCATATTATACTTCGCAAATGAAGCGGTACGAGCATCAGAAACTCAGAAAAGGTCGGAATTTTTTGGGGGAGGGGCAGGCGCGGTGGACTTCCGGCTCGGTATGTCGTAGCTTAATAGGGCTTCAGGGGTACCTTCCTTGCAAAAGGCGCTACGCAGCGCCTGCCCAGGTACGCACAATTCCGTCAGCCCGGCGAAATAATCCTACTCGAATTAGGAATTTATCGTGCCAGGTGGCTGAAAGGGAAGTCCCGTAATCAAAAATGATGGCTCCCATACTCATGACAAGGTGGTTAGTAATCAATGGTGAAGGACACCTTCCGAAATGCCATAAATGGGGACCCTCAGTGGATTCTCGGAGCACTTCTCGTTTACTGGTATCATCCACTTTCCGTTATCACCTCACTCTCATAGTTCAGAATGGAAAGAGCCAGTTGTGGAAGAATCGCACTATTGCAATCTTTTGTAAACGAAAGTGCGCGCACATGGGGGTAGTGGGCGAGTCATACTGCCTCCGTCATAAGAGTATAGCGGCCCTTGTCAGGGCACTTTCCGAGGCCGTCAAAAATGTTATATCTCTGGATGTATACACGTGAACCGCTTGACGTGCTTTCAAGCGGCCTCTGTGGCGTAAGGCAGGGCGCACTTACCCGGAAAGCGTGAGGTGCTGGTTTGTGCCTAACGTTGTGGTTTTTCGGCCATTAACTCAGCAAATTTTGAATTACACTTGAACGAGAATCACATAATATATTTCCATATCCGTCGTTAAATGTGTGCTTGATAAACCCCCCAAATATGTATTATTGATAGTAGAGGGCAGATTTTGACTACCCTTGAGCAGGCGCTAGCGTGCGCCTTTTCCTAAGGAAAGTACTCATTATAGCGTCCCACAAGCTGCAACATATCCGGACCTGCTAGACTCAACCGCACACCACAAATGGTGCGACCTGATGCGTCGTCATCGGCATCATTTGTGAAGCACAATGTGAAAGCCGGAGGCGATTGATATAAGTATCTGCGCGCTGCTGCATGAGATGTATGAGCTACATACACTGGAGTTTTTCAATGCAAGCGTGGAGCACTACCGACCACGCTGGAACAGCCGACGTTGCGCGGTCGATGGAAAGGTGGAGGCCTGGGCGATTATCATCATTGCCTCTGCGCTCTCTGACATTGACTCTGCGCTCGAACACACGCCGCCGCACTATCTACTCACTCTTCCGTCTGGACTCTCGCCGATCGATAATTGCTGACGCTCCCAGTCAGCTGATTCCTGCGGTATTTTTGCTGTTTTTCTGCTGCATCAACTTCAGTTCAGAAAGGGAATATGCTTGCTAAAATTAGATTCATTATTTAAGCACGAATTTCTCTTAGAAAATTGGTTTCTCCCTTCTATTTTCGCAATTGTTAAACTTTTTTCGAATGCCTTCATTATTTTTCAATGTAATTAACTAAAATCTGCAAAAAATCTACTTCCAGCAAAACATACTTACCTTTCCTTATTGAAGCGGCAAGAAATTAATTTTGGTTTCAGAAGCTGAAAACAACAAAAATCAGTTGAATGGGCCTATCAGTCATTTACGATCGCGGCGGCGTCGGGCTGCCCCACCGTTCAATGAGAACTCCACTGTACATGCAGCCGCATCTGCCGTAGCGGTAACTTGGCACAATGCCGACTTGAACTCGTCCAAAATTGCTTTCTGACGAAACCTACAAAAAACCTTCATGTTGAACAATAGGTTTTTTGCATGTTTTAGACAGTGTATCTTCGCTTTTCTCGCCATTTTCACTCTGTATAGCACCTCGCTAACATTAGGAACGGAGTACCATGTTATCGCGCCTTATGCCTTAAAGACACATGGTACGCTCAAACAGATTTGGAGGGTGGTATGGAGACTATCCCCCCCACAAATCTATCCGCCAGCCTCATCGCTGAGCGTAGTGGGCCCTCCGTGAACGGTTTTGGACTGTTCCAAAAACGTACCAATGCGGAGGGTGCCACGTCAGAGCCTGGCGAGCTACGCGTGGTTAATTTTCTTCTCGCCAAAAACAGTAACAACTATGGGCCTCATTCCCCTGAACTAGGAACACGCGAGCAGGCGACGTCGGCTGGGACCCGCCGACGAGGCTGCAAAATCACAGGGCCAAAGGAATTTGAGTCGCCCAAGTACTAGGGTATGCGACGATTCTTACTTCAACGCCACGTCGCGTGTGCATCGGACAGCCTCACATCGAAGATTCTGATGTTGCAAGCAGAAGATTCAGAGTACGACGGTCATCGGAACTGACCGAGACGACGGAGGCATCGCGCCGTACCCCACGCCCTCCGGTCATCCTCCACCTCCCCATCTTCCTTGCTCGTTACCGAGACTGCGAAGAAGAACTGTTCCTACGGAAACATGCGATGCGGGGCGTTGGCGGTTGTGGGGCCTCGTCAAACACGCACCTTGGCCGATGAAAATCGATTCCGTAGCGAAAGTCTGACGAGAACCCGAATCCGGACGTTCTCGTTGAGAGAGGTGTTCAACTCCCAGCTTTGACAATCTCGTCGTCCTAACTTAGCACCAACATCAAGCTACGACGAGGATGAGCTCGAAGCGTTCTATATGGAATTGGAGAAGTTCTACAAGGAAGATCATACCTTCTTCAAGGTCATCGTCGGTGATTTCAACGCTAAGATCGGACCAAGAAGAACGGCTGAAGAACTTCACATCGGAACTCACGGAACGGAGTGGAATGAGCAGGGTGAAAGGCTGTCTGAGTTTATCATGTCGACCCACACCATCCATGGTAACTCGCAGTTCCAGAAGCCCTACTCTCTACGCTGGACATGGGAGTCTCCTGGTGGACAAATTCCATAACGAGATCGACCACATTCATCTCAAGCAAAGTTTTGCCTAATCGATGTCGCTGTTGTCCCTAAGTTCACACGGGATCCGACCATCGCCTCCTTCGCGCAAGATTCCGCTTTTCGATGCGAGGAGAGAGAGCCGCAAAGTTCAAGAAGCGAAGCCCAAAGACCTTCATCAACTGGGATCACTTCACTTCTCTCGCTGGGCTCTGGGAGGATTCTGTCATCGACAACATCGACGAGGAATACAACGCTATTGCACATCTTCACCACCTGCTCGCAAAGAATCAGAGGTTCCAAAGATGTACAAGAAGCGTCACTCTCTTTTGAAAAACTTCGCAGCTGCATTCGCAACGTTGGAGTCCGCACGTAGCCGCAGCAATTACCAGCTGACGTCTGAGCTTGCGAAGCTATGCAGAGGAGCGATAAAAGAAGACCTCAAGGAGAGAAGAGCAGCAGTATTGGTGGAAGCCGCAGAGGCTGGGAAGAGCATACGCAACGCCCGCCGCGACTTTCGCCAACTGTAAGACCCAAGATGACCGCCCTCCGG